TTATGATAGTGCCAAATATAACTGTTAATATTTATTAAAAAAATAGAATCATTTAAGGTTATTTTGAATTATTTCCATTATAAAAAATGTCATTTAGAATTTAAAAGGAAATTTGTTTTTGGAAATAATTATTATTTTTGGGTTATTGTTTCGGGAAAATAAATGTTTTAGGGTTACATATATACATATTTAAGATTATTTATTTTTGAAAACGATAATAGTTTGTCATTTATATCTATCATAAGATTTGGAAATATCTAAAACTTTTTTAATTTGTTTTAGAAAGAAAATAATATATGATAGGTTTATTACTCTTTTGAAAAGAATAAAATATCTAGATAGTTACCATATTGTTATAAATTTATAATGTCAAAACACAAAAAAAATCTATCACTTTTGATTGTGAATGATCCTTATGAAAATAACATTATGTTTTCGAAAAAGAATTGAGATATTAATTAGACATTAAGTTGGCATGTAAAAACTTTATAATATCTTTAATAAAAGATAAATATTCTCGACATTTTAAACATAATAAGATTGTTTAGTTTTGGTTTATATATGAATTTTCCCCTTTTAAATTTGTAAAAGTTGTAGATAAAGTCTAAAATATTCAATAAATATCTTTATTTGGGGAATTGCCAATTTTTGAGAAAAACATAATTGTTACAGAATTAACGGCCCTGGAAGTAGTTGTGGCGGAGGCTACAACGTTGTTGCCGCCAGTGAGAGCTCCTCCGGTGATGGTGGAGCTCAGCAGCTGAATCTCATAGCTTTCGAATTGATTATTTGTGTTCATATTGTTTCTTTATGTTGAAGATATGCATATCGAAGTTGGTTGGGTGTGTGTCTGCCAACTTGGTAATTGGTGACAACTCTAATCCATTACAACGATGGCATGTGATCTATCTATATATATATATATATTTATTTTGTGACTTCATATTATTTTTTTTTATCATTGAGAGGAAGAAGATGTAGGAGTACTTGGAGAAGAAAAAGAATGTAATCTCCCTTCCTTATAATCGTTATACTGTATATTAATGTGTTCATGTCTTAAAATTTTGGTAGTTTCGGATGAAAGTAATATGAAGAAGAACAGGAGGAACTTGGTTAAAGGTAATACGAAGAAGAACAAGAGGAAATTTGGTTCAGGAAACAGCTCGCACTATGACTCGGGCACTTACAGTGCTGATGTTAAGAAGTTCAGGAAATTGGTCTTGGATAACCATAAAGCAGCGAGTACGGAAACACGACAGAGTACCGAAACACGACCGATTACAGGCTCCGTCTTCCTCGAGCAGCGAGGAGATTCGTAGAGAAAGAGTTAACAACAACAAAAGTACAAACCCACTCCTAGCTAAGAGATTTGATTTAGCTGTTAGTTTTTCAACTTTCAAAATAATCTAGCTTACTGTGTTTTTTGTGGTTTATTTTCATGTTACAATTGTTTCAGCTTTTTTTTTTTTGTCACTGTTGGATTTGTGTTCGTGTCTATGAAAAACTTCAAACTTTTGGTTGTGACATGTGATTAATTGATTTGTTAATGCTAATTGTCTCTACAGATGTTCAAGTGTTATCTCCATTATCTCTACCAAGTAACGTAGGATTTACAAGTGAGATATGAGAGGAAATTAGGAATTGAACAACCCACGAAAACTAGAGGTGATGACGAAAAGCAACGTAGACAACATTGTTTAGAGGTGATTCATTATTATCTCTCTTACGGTTTAAATATTTGGTTTTAGTCAATTTGTATTTAGATTCACTTCATTGATTGTCCGTTTACTTTATAGTGCGTTCCTATAAATCATTTGGTTTTCACAATTATCTAAAAAATTACTAATTAAATCTTATTGTTTGTTTGACGCAAGTGGTTAAAACTCTGTAGACATAATGAGACAAAAAGGTAGGAAATTTGGTGAGGAATTCAATTTTTTTTATTATATGTTCTGACATTCTACCATTAGCACATCCTCATGCTTTTACAATCATTCTGTGCAAGTAAATTAATTGGTGAATGTTGTGATTCCAAGGCCCAATCCAGATCATGATCCAACACCAAGAGTTGGAAGGATCAGTTTGAATTCTTGGATCCAATATTTATTAAAAGCATATTCTAATGATATATATGATATATTACTGCAGATGTTTTTAGTATCTTATTTTTTAAAGTATAACTAACTAAGCATACCAAAAAAGCCGGAAAAACGAGAGGTGATGAGATGAAGTCATGAAGACAATCACAACGAGAAGCATGAAGGCAAAGTTAAATTCTATTTCCTATCTAAACCAATGTAAACGTTGTTCTTTTGGTTTTGCTTATATTCCTTTCTTGATTTTTTCTTTGTATTTCTCCTAAATATATATATAAAACCATGAAAAAGGACCAGAGACCGAGAGCTGGTAAAGATGAGACCACAACAACAATGAACATCAACATCTACAAGGTTGATTTGTATTTTCTATAATAAAATATGTCCATACTAATCTTTTGGTTTTGTTTATTCATCTCTTCTAACATAGTTATATTGTTTCTTTTTTTTCTTTTCTGTATTAGTTTTGTCGTTTTGTGTGTGTTTAGAATGTTTTCGATCATTCGCAATCTATGATCAATATTAGAGAAACTGAGAAAGACTGAGACTATGAGAATAAGAACTTCACAAAAAGAGAATGACGAAGGTACAAAGCCGATTAAACAAAGGAACATAAAAAAGTTCGAATAAAGAGGATCAACAAAAAAGTTCTTTAAATTTCGCTTTTCTAACCAATTCTATATGAGATCATTAATTATGTTCTATTTAGTTTGTTATGCTTTTTGTAATACTCAAAAACAGAACACAAAGATGATGCAAGAGAAGAAGAAGTAAGATGAGTATGAAGATGAAAATGTAAAAGAAGAAGAATATGAACAAGAACGTGAATACAAAGACATAGAAGATGAGGATGGCGAAGATGTAATGATTATGAACACAAAAGATAATGAAAGTATATCATCATGACAAAGGAGAAGATGTGAAAATTAAAGTGTGGTTGCGTCTCTTTATTTTAGTATTTTTGTTGCCATATTATATAGTAAGTTGTTAAAATGTATGGACGTGTTGGCTTACTTGAGAGCCGGTTCAATAGCGAAGACTATAAAACTGATAAGTTTTACAATTTTTTCTTGAAGCTATATGATATAACTGGAAAGAGAGAAGAGATTTTACGTATATGGAACGTTTTACATAAAGAACGTAAAAAATGTAGAAATGAGAGATATGAAACTGTGATCATGTCTTTGCACACGCATATCACGAGGATGATGAAACCCCGTTGATTTGATTCCAATCTTGATAACAAATCAATTTCGTAGCTAAATTTATTTATTTAGTTATGAGTCTCTAAAATTTCGATAACCTTCATATGATTGGTTAAAAACTATAAATATTGTGGTCATATAATTATATTAACTTTGATAAGGATTAATACAAAATAAAAATGTGAGTGTTTATTAGAAAAAAAAGATTCAATTAATATTATTTTGGATTTTTTATTTATTAAAATGGCGTTTATATTTTGAAAGAAAAATAACAAATTGGAAATATTTATAATTTTTTGGCATATTGTTTCAAGTTCAACGAAAGATTTTACGGTTATATATTTTTTAAATTATTTAATTTTAAAATAATAATTAAACTTGCCATACATCTCTATCCTGATTGGAAATATCTAAAACTGAACATATATTTATGAAAATAAAATAATATAAGTTGATTTTTCGCTAAATTTGATATGTCAAAAAGGTAATATCATTATTTTGTGTTCAAGGCAATAATTTTTTGTATGTATAGCAACATTATAATTTTTAAAAAAAATAGAATCATGGATGTAATCAACTATTGTCAAGGTATAATATTTAAATAAATAAATTTTGACCATATTCTTCTTTTTACGTAATTTAAAATTAGAGCATTTACGTTAGATTAATCAAAATTAGAAAAAAAAAATTAAATTTTAAAAGGGTAGTTGGCATGTAAGAACATTTTCATTGGATTTTTTAAACTAGAGACATTTAGAAACTCTTATTTACAGTAATTCAAAATTATAGAATTATTGATTTTAGTTTAAATTTTTTAGAATCGGTTTTTTATAAAGAATATTATAAGAAACTCTCTCTTCAACATGAGACACATGTCTTTTTATAAGTGGTGAAAGAGCTTATGATAAACGTAGAAATCATTATCTTATTGATGAGTTTGGGTATAACCATGATAACAAAGAAAGAGAGCAAAATTGACGGTTTGCTGCAGCCTCATAAAATAGTTCTTGATAAACGTAGAAATCATTTTCTAATTGATGATTTTGGCTATAACCATGATTACAAAAAAGAACAAAATTGACGGTTTTCTATAATCTGATAAAAGAGCTTTTGATAAAAGTAGAAGTTATTTGATAATTGATGAGTTTGGTTTTAACAATGATCACAGAAATTTTTTTTTTTTACGGTTTTTGCAACTAGATGAAATAGCTCAGGATAAACGTAGAAATCATTTGTTGATTGATGAGTTTGACTATAAATATGATAACAAAAAAAAGAGAGCAAAATTGACGGTTTTCTACCATATGATGAAGAGCTCTTGATAAACGTAAAAATCATTGAATGATTGATGAGTTTGGCTATAACTATGATAACGTAAAAAAGAAAACTTGACTTTTTTTGCAGCCTCATGAAAAAATTCTTGACTTTTTTTGCAGCCTCATAAAAAAGCTCTTGATAAACTTATTGAGATTTACCTAGAATGACTCATAACTTAGAAAAAATAACTTAAATGACACCCATTTGATTTGGATTACTAGACTAACCCATATTTTAAGTAAAAAGTCTAATTAACCTTATTGAGTAACAATAATAACAATCATGCCATTATAAATTAAATCATACCAAATAAATAAATAAAACTAGTATCGTAAAAAAAAACCAAATCCATTTTTGCCTTTTATTGTTTTGAAACAAAAAAACGACATTCATTATTCACTTCTCTCCCAAAAAACCCTAGAAAGGCGTCGCCGTCGAGTCATTACAGTGAAGAAGTCGCCGTCGCCGTCGAGTCTCCGTGTGAAGTCGTCGCGCCGTCGATAGTCCTAATCTTCCGTCCAAATGCATGTCTAAAGTTTCGCTCGCCGTCGAGTCTCCGTGAGTGTTTGATTCGCCGTTATTGCTTTCGCCGTTATTGCGTTCGCCGTTATTGCTTTCTTCTCCGGTGTATTTCCTTCGCCGTAGAGTTTCCTTTGCCTTTCGTTTCGATCTAGCAAGGTAACTCTGTTTCCTCCTTTTCTATTGTTTTCACCGGAGAAGTTTGTTCTTCCTTTCAAATTTGGTATCTTCATTCAACAGTGTATGATTACCTTTACCCAGATATTTTCCCATTCAATTTTGCTTTCGATTTTGCTTTCACTTTGCTTTCAATTTTGCTTTCAATTTTGCTTTCAATTATGATTAACCCTTGAGTTTTTTTTTTGCAGATCGACCACAGTCATCTCAGTAGCTACATTGTTCTTCCGGTTTCCAGTAAGATTTAACCTAATTTCATCGGAATTTTTTTTGTAAGATTCGTTCGCTCTTTTTCGATTTACTAAATCAAACAAAGTCTGTGGTACAAAAAAAGTCTATCGAAGAAAGTCTGTGGTGGATCAAATAGTCTGGTTGATTAGTTTGGCTAAAACAATGATAAAGAAGAAAAAAAAAGAGAAAAATCTCTGGTTTTCTACACCCTGGTGAAAGAGTTTTTGATAAACTTAGAAGTCTTTTGCTGATTGATGAGTTTTGCTATAACCATGATTACAGATAAAGCAGCATAATTGATAGAAGAGCTCTTGATAAACGTACAAATCATTTGTTGATTGAGAAGTTTCAGTTATAATCAAGATAACGGAAAAAACAACAAAATTGACAGTTTTCTCCAGTCTGATGAAAAAACTCTTGAAAAACGTAATAGTTATTTGTTGATTGATGAGTTTGGCTATAACAATGATAAATAAAAAAAATGTGCAAAATTGATTGTTTTCTGCACTCTCATGAAAAAACTCCTGATAAACGTAGAAATCGTTTGCTAATTGATGAGTTTGGCTATAACCTTGATAATAAAAAAGGAGTAAAATAGACTGTTTTCTACAATACATATGTAGAAAGAGCTCTGAATAAACGTATAAAGCATTTGCTGATTAATGAGTTTGACTATAAACATGATAACAAAAAAAGAGAGCAAAATTGACGGTTTTCTACCATATGATGAAGAGCTCTTGATAAACGTAAAAATCATTGAATGATTGATGAGTATGGCTATAACTATAATAACGTAAAAAAAGAAAAAATTGACTTTTTTTGCAGCCTCATGAAAAAATTCTCGACTTTTTTTGCAGCCTCATGAAAAAGCTCTTGACAAACTTAAAAATTATTTGTTTATGGAGGAGTTTGGCTACATTAATGATAAAAAATAAGCAAAATTGATGGTTTTCTGCAGAGTGATGAAGAGCTCTTGATAAACG